ACCCGTGAAACCGCAAAAGTTTGCTTAACCGAGTTACTCTCAACATTTTCCGCCACGGTTTAGCACATTCACTGTACGTAGACGCGATCTGTGACGCCTATAGATGTTTGATCTAGACCAACTCAGAAACTGTGCAAATACGCTCATTAGCGCTTTTTGTAAATATTAGGTCCGTGAACTAGTTCTACAGGTGTCCCAGCATTAACTAAAGCCACTTTATCGGGTAATGTTGACAGTGGGAGATATTTCGCAGAGTAGTGTATTACCTTTAACGGGCGAGGTTATGAAAGTCCGCTGAAAAATTCTAAAACACACAGGACAAACAAGTAGCTTATCTAGGCCAAATACAGTTCTTTTCTACTTATATAACACAACTTCCTTCTTTGCACTTGGTTCAATTTATAATTCCAACAATTACTTACAATAAACTACTTTTTTATCACTTGAATTCTTTCTGTTTTATGAAAGATGGTAAACTTTAGACAAAAACTGCATCAAAATTTATATCTGCAGTGCAATTGAGTGTGAGAAGATCAGCCAGACATATTTGTTATTAACTCCAGTTTACCGGTGGGTACCAAATCTTCACAATGTGGCGTTATCACCTTGGGCTTCAACGCCGCTTCACAAATCAGGTATTTATTTACAAAATCTTGAGAAATGTGCCGGATGTCTGATTAGAATGAGCTTCTTGTGTCAAAGGAACGCTTCCGGTCATCGCATATAAACACGAAAGGAGTCTTGTCCAGCACTCCGCTGAAAGGGAGCTAGGCCGCAACCCCACCCCCTCTGATGAAACGGCAGAGCTCTGCAACATAGCACACGCACGTTATGAGAGGGTATTGAAGAAAACAAAAAGTAAATAAGATAACGTGAATTGGTTTTGTCTTTTTTTGTAGCTGTAAATTGTTTTGGTTTTTATTTCATTCAAGAGAAAATGTGAACCAATCTCTTAATGAAAGGTATACGCCCTCTACTCTGCCAATGTTCGTGGCCCTGTCTCAATTATCAACTGGAACTAAATATCTGATCTTATGCGTAAAATATGAAGCAGGCCCACTCCATGAACACTTGACAAAATACATCCTAGTATATTATGGCAAATATCCGTCTTCACAGGTAGGTCATGTGGATTTTTGTTCACCCTTTATTGTCCTTTCATTATTTGTCTTGATGTTGCCTGCATGGCTATAAACCACATACGAAGGCGGTCTTCGGGGCTTTTTACCGTAAAACGATCTGTGCGACACCGTTCCCATCATTTCGCCGAGGCAAGTCTGAAATTAATCCGTCATAACGGAAGCATATCACACATTACGTTGGGCTGAAACATCAGCCGATATTGGACAGATCGGGCACGTTGGTCCCGTCGTGACGGAATTACCCTGGCTTTCGACAGAGACTGTAGGATGGCGCATCGCGGGTATAAAGGGAAAGATCAGTCACTTTTTTGTAATTTGGTCTTGTGTCACTTTTGGAATTCCGGCTAATAACCAGCGCCAAAATGAACACTTTATGAAACACATTTGCGACAGGTTTCTGCAATGTCCATGATAGATTTGAGAAATTATGACTTCTCACAGTGGTTACCGTCTCAAAATGCAACCTCAAGCACCCCCCAGTAAGATTTAATATATCTTAGGGCCCAGGCACTGAAGTCTCAGGAAGCTTGTGGGTAGTATTTACAGTACATTGATGCACTGGACTTAAACCACCCGGAAAGACTCAAGCAAGACTATATAGTTACATATGAACATTTCAACTGTTAACCTGTCTTTGCAAAGCATGCATTTTGTGCTTAAAGCAAGTATTTGTGAAATTGGGTCCAGTGTTTTTATCTTCCATATCTGCCTTTACTCAAAATTCCTTTTGTTACTTTTTATTCCTAGGCTATTTGAAGGATTATGTTCAAGATTAGTGGGAGGGAGGAAGAAGACATTTCCAAAACCAGGGTTCACAAAATTTTTGGCTTTACTTGAAGATAAGTATGTTTCCATAAACCAAACTCGCAGGAACAGGAAATTATTAAGGGCAAACTTGCATTGTTTGAAAAAGCCCGCAAGTGCTGAAAACTCTCGTGCTGATATCGTCGAAGCTATTTTCTGCATATAGGAAAAATCCAGCACGCGGGTGGGGGGGATTGGTCGACTGTAGCCCAGACCGCAACATCGCCCGATCGTGGAGGCTATCTGCAGATACAATTTCAGCAGTGACATCTCTAAATTATCAACTTTGATCATGAGATCCCCGTATTTCTTCATTAAAGGCATATATCCTAATTTCTCCGCGGGGGACAATTAATTAAGTACCGGTACAGGTTTCGTCCCTCGCCACGGGTGATTCGTATCACACGGGCTGCGGGCGTTGAGAAGCCAAGACAAGTGGGGCAAGTTGAAAAACATGCAGTAGCGATACATTTAGTACTGAATATCACATACATATCACACACGACTTATTCTCCAGAAAAATTGTGTTCGGAGACACTCACATTACAATTGGAGATTGTAATGTGAGTTGAAGTGCAACCCGTGAGGGTGCGTCTGGCTTGCGGTGTGCTTTGCACAACGATGAGTGAACCTGTCTATGTTTGTGAGGAAAGGGCTGCTCTATTTTAGTGGTCAAGAATCGTCTGGCACCCTTATTCTGCACAAGTATTGCATCACCTTAAACCTTCATCAACCTTGTAGAAGAATTTACCTAAAGTTAAGGCTCGATATCAACGTGGGATACCAACTGCCCATTTACTTTCGAAGTTTAACTCCGAGTCAATTTCCGGGCATAAGTTTACGACACAAATACACTCAGAGTGCACGTTACAAGAAAGCTGGACTGTATCCACCCCAGTTCCTCCCCCAAAATAAATTACCGTAGTAGATTAAGGCAATTATTCTGGTGAAGATCTTTTTGGAAAACAAAAGTAATATCTCCCTGCAAGATGGTAACCAGAGCAAACCTAACCAGGTACATTTTATCAGAATTAAACCATTCTGTTAGCATCTAGTGCCTCTATGGTCGGCGTATAGGCCTTCTGACAGCGCTGAATCGCCGCTGGAATGTTTTCGCATGTAGGCCTATATGCATCGATCGTGTCCTTCGAGGCTCTGGTTTTCCATAATGTTTGGGCGCGGGACTGTGCCGGGAAAATCCAATCTACGGTCGCATAATCATGCTGTAAAGGTCTGGCTTTTCCTTTATTTATATACAGCTCGAACAGTACACAAAATGTGGTCTGAGGTTTTCAATCGCATCAGTCGTTTGAAGATTCAAATTACTACTTTCATATAAACCTAGCACAAAGTGACAAAATTTATAACAAATTTGCGTAGTAAAAGAAATCAGTTTGCAAAGTACGTCAAAATATCGCTGTCAAAAAGGTCAATGCCAAACATAATAATGTATTTCATAACATCCACACGTCTACATCATTGAATAATATTCCTTCTTGACTTCACCCCCATCAATGTCCAAATTCGCATTTAAAATGTTCTAACGTTATTTCGGAATGAATTACCTGTCCTCGGTGAACGGGCTTGACCGTGTCCACCAAATCCAGAAACGTTTGTGGTTTACATCTATCTACACGAGTGTCTGCCCCTGAACAAGTAGGTCTAAGCTGCCGTATCATAGCCCGCCCAGCCCCGGCAATCTCCACACAGCCGACACGGTTACAGTTGCCATTAACCCTTTGACATGGAGTCTCTACAGCCAATTTTCCACCTACCAAAGAAAGGAAATGAAGGGGAGAGGACTGACGAAAAAGCGACTGCGGTGGTCCCTTTGACGGTATTAAAACTATGCAATTGTATAATCTTAATTCCGCGGCCCAGTGGGCAAAAGGACCCCGCATTAAATGGAAAGTAATTTCCCAGTGCATAGTTAACATGGAGGAGGCATCGGCGTGCCTTTGTGCGCTGATTGACTCCAGCGTCAAGTTCAATTTAGCCGGCTTTGTTACCATCACGTCGGGCATGAAAAATAGCCTCTGGCAGCAGCGGTGCGGTGGTGAAAGGGGACACAATACCTTACCAATCCGCCCAACAGACCACTCAACCAGTGTCTCGTACGGATTCAGAAGCACCGTCAGCCCCCTTTGTTGGTAGGTAGAGATCAGTTCTCTCCATGACCGCAAGGGCACGGCTTGGGGTTGCATTGGCCTAAGCCCATAGCACGTGCGATGGTGCCCGACAATCTGTTGGTGTAAGCGACACCGCTTCTTACCATTCTTATTTGGTTCCCATTTCAGAAAACGTGGCATCTCATCAACGTACGTACCTAGCCCAGGAAAACTTATTCTTCAATGTGACCGTTTCTCACCTCCTTTTGGTCTGTCTGCCGAATCTTTCAGCACAACCCCATGCTCAAACCACTGAACGACGCGAATTAGTTGCAAGATATACAAGCGAACCGAAAGACTCTAAGGACTTAAAACATACGATGTAAATCCTTTTCACTCTCTCTGTGCATGATGGGATTGGACAACAAGCAATAGATTTGATGTTCAAACCAATCAGGGAGCGAAGCAGCACAACAAAATTTCCAAGTTACCTCTAAATACTCAAAATCGAGTCTTTCCCCCCACACAAGTTACTCAAACATTCAAAGTTTAAAACTCATCATCAGTTTACAGGTTTGGGAATCCACACATGGACAAATAATTTTTGTCTTGGCTACCGTGATGGAAGTCAGCGAGTTGATATTGGGCAATCAGAATCGTCATTTGAAGCTTATTCATCCAATAATCAAGCAATGACATTCATTTTGTAGTCTGGTGACTCGTCCTTTATCGTGGTAAGCCTTTCCAATATGACTGCGTATCATCGAGGACTGTTCGCTAATGCTGTTAGCATCTCTTTTATATACGTCGTTGTGGAAAAATAGGTTTCATTCTCCCTATAGGTTCACGCATACCAGGGACAGCCGTTTTGTTATGATGTCAAATGGCTTTAATATCCAAATATCTATAATTTGATTTCATGGAATTCATCGCTGCGACAAAAGTATGACACTTATTATCGTCCTTCCATTGCAAGGAGCATTTTATTACCTTGATATAACCTTAACTTATTAAGCCATGTCTGTAGTAAACACGGAAGCGACTGCGGTCGTTAGCCACTGGTTGCCATTGGCTCACGTGTCATTCTCTGTCTTCTATTCATTATAGGCAAACACCATGATGTCATTACTGTCGGCATAATTCACAGCATGGTTATCAAACCCAACGTGATTTCATTCTTGCGAAATCCTAAGACCAGGCACTCGCCACTGCCACGTGACCAATTCAGGTAGAATTCCGGCCAGATTGAGAAACTGTCCCACATTTCCCTGCTTCATTTCACATACTTCTCACAATTTTCTCGATTTTTTCCCACACCACCATGCAACCTCTGCCCAACTGTTCAATGTGTGTAACTTTAAAAATTGGCGGGCATGCCCGAGCTACACAGTTAATTGGTAAACATTATTTTCTTAACACTTTAACAGCTAAGTGTCCTTACAATAAGAGGCATCGGTGAATTGTCACGGTAGAGAACAAGTCAAGTACATTATTTGAATTACAGAAATACTGGCTCTCGGGCAACGCATGTTGAACAATAAATATGTTTTATAAAAATAACGATGTAGGTGGATCTTTATCTTCACCACTATTGTTTTCTTCTACCAAATAATCAATACATGATCACTGCCATAACACATTGAACATTACAAACATACTACAATGTAAAGGACAACGCCTTCCAGGCCCAGCGAAAAACGACACTTACAAGTCGAGTACAAAATAATGGAACTTGCAAACATATCATTAACTATCAAACGGTCACAATGGATATCGCACTCAGCAATGTTCTATAGGCTAGGTATTAAGTTAGTTCATTCGATATTTTACGTGTAAATATCTTGTGCAATTTGCAACAAAGTTTGGTTTTCACTTTACTCAATTCATTTCGAGGTATGTAGATTAGGTAATTGTGTCTTTAAAATTAAAAAAACGATGCATTCCAATACAGCATGCAGATCGCTATCCAATTTGACCAGGTGTTACAGTTTACGGGCAAGCTTTGTAACAATTGTACAAGTGAATTGAAATAGGGCCTATGCATGTTCAAGTGCCTGGAAGGCCAATGATTGATAGTTTAATAACAAAATGAAACATGATGAAAGGTGAAACAAGAATATTTAGCCCTCAAAACAATAAGGCTTATAGAAAAGGGTATTCTTTGAAGAGTGACAGAGTAATCAAAAGTGACCACCAACATAAATAACACTGCAAAAACGGCCAATTAATTTCTGAGGAATATTCAAACAATGGTGCACTCTTGATCTTTACGGGCTTCCCATTGTTACTAAATTGATGGATTTTAAAACAAAATGAATGCACAGTCTCCAATAAAAATTACTTTGATCTTAAAAGAAAAATCACCTTTGACTTTTTCCAGTCGCCGAGCTTAAATTTCGAATGTGACTGGTCGACTGAGGCGGTCAAACTTTGATTCTCTTTTGCAAAAATATTAGCTCACTGACATCAACAAAACGATTCCTCGTTACATTCCACTCCTGAAGTTTCTAATTAAAAAAAATTACCAACGCAACAGGTAAAATTATTTTCTCTCTGGGTTCTCAAGGTGATATTAAGTAAGTTTGCCTGGTTCACTGTCATCACAAAGTTGTGCACATAATGCATTGGTTATTTGTCGTCCATAATGCTATGGGAACGTCCAAAAGGTCATTAATTTAAGTGAGACAGCAGGATGTCTGATCCCATGTACATAAATAATAATCTCTATCTGTCGGTCCCCATCGCCTCCATGGTGTATCGATTGTTGCTCATATCAAGTGAAACCAAATATCTACTATTATTGATTATGCACGAAATTTTAGAACAAGGTCAGTAACTGACGTGGTTTAATCATGTTACTGAGTAAAACCACCATTGAACTGTTACTGGATGCATCTTTCATCACGTCCTTTGATGTTTAGTTTCTGACTTTCTGCGCTGTTTGCAAGCGAGGCTATGTGAACTTGGTTGTGAATTCGTTATTCTAAGCAGTCCCATTGATGGGGATGACGGTTGTGCATGGTTCAAATGGAGCAAATTCTACACTGAATGTGCTGCTTCATAAAGTGCACGTCCGAAAACGAATCAGAACGGCAACTGGATGAGCCAAACCGTTGAATATGACCGCACGAACTTCGAATGGCAAGTTGACGAAGTTGATCGGGAAAATGTATGACATTTATGTTCCTGTTAAGTGCAATGTAAACCGAGAATGATGCCAAGAATTACAAAGCCACTTTAACTACATGTAATTCAAATATCCGCAAAATCTTAGCCTGATCCGGGGACGGAATAAATGCGGTTTTTCCTACAGGCACGTACAGTCTTCAGTGTTCAATCTATTTTACAAGAGTGATCGATACGACTGCCGATGTGTGCTAACTTTGGAAAGTGAATAATTGTAATTATACCTTCTCATAAAACGGGGATCGGGTTGTTACGTCGCCTCTAAAATGTAGGAACTGAACATGTTGGTTTTCAGATGACTGTGCACTTTAATAGAACATGTCTGCAATGATAGTTTGGAAGTGCCCGTGAGTCAAAGTTAGCTTCTTACATTTTACGAGGCTCTAGATAAGTTTGGTACAATTAAGTACATGTTGCTTGCAATTTGTACGGACAGCCAAAGTACGCAGAAATATCACCCTTGGTTAGTGCTGGGTTTTTTTTCAAACTGTACACTTTCCACTTCTTTTAGAGAAGACTACATTTTCGTTTAGTATACATGTGTACAGAAGTGGTATATATAATACAATATTTTGATACCTGCCTACATTTTTCAGCAACTTGTGAAAGATTCTTTTGCATTCTGAAAGCCTGCCACAGTTTATCATTCATTGCAGGCTAAAGTAATGACTGTCACGTGGGAAGAGAGAGAGATTTATTTAGCAGAATAAGAAAATAAATACCTTGATACTGCTTCAGTATTTTGAACGATAGATTAGTATCCTACTCAGTGTTGAACACATTTGAGTCACTTGGATTACCATTCAGTCAGTAAATCTGAGCAATCAATATCTGGAAAACTAAATGTACGTATATCAAACATTTATGATTTGCGACACATGCAAATGCCACAGCAAAATTCCACTTGGGTAAGATTATAAGAAATACATACAATTCATTTCACTTGAAATCAAGCAGATAACCACTTTGAAGCTATTTTGTTGAAAAAAAGGCAGCAAAAATAGGATGCATAATGTAGAAAAATGCACTTTTAACTAAACAGAAGTCGCACCATCGTCGCAGTTTAAAGCTACATGTACATGATTGTGTGCTTAGGAAATTGCAACTTTATTTATACTTGGTTTCAAACTCATCATTTCACAGACACTTTTCAGAGCCCATTAAGTGACAGTTCAGTCACTGGACCACAGAAGTGAACTGAGATTCAAAAGAAACCCTGCTCATGATACACACATACAGACGAAAGTAGTTGAAACACCAATCACATTATTTACAGTTTCTGATTCTCATTTGTTTGTATCAGACACTTTTTGACTAAACTTTTCTTTCAATGGAAATTCTTATTTTTTATAGAAAATATGACTATTTTTAGTAACGATGGAAAATAATATCAAACAGGGATTTCCAATTGTTTAATTGAATCAACAATATGTACATGAGAAGATTGTAAAAAATTCAGAACATGTTTATAACATGTATTTTCCCATTGAATCTAAACAAATTATTACCCAAATCAGCTGAAGTCATTCATTTCAGGGTGTGTTTGACTGCAGTTTCAGATCACTGTATATCCAGACTAAAAAGAGCATTTCAATTTTGTCAGCACATGATCAGAAACTATTTACAGGTACATAAGTTCAAATTGAAATTAGGCCAGCAGGAATACTGATGTATGATAGAAGAATAATGGTATCTTAAAATGAAAAAGAAGGTAAGGATGAGAAGTACAATCCTCATTATTTGGCTTCAGTGCCTTCTATCCTATGTGCATTAAACGATTGTGAATGCACCAAATACTCAATTAATTGCACAAAAAAAGGGCAAGTGACAATTGAAGGCAGAAACCTAATCATGTATATCAAGATGAACGCTGTGCGTGGAATGATACAGTTTCTAATTCGTGTGTGCTGGCAAACAAACTGTCAACCAAAGTACATGTGGTTCATGAAAATAAATACCATCCAAACAATTAGCACCACAATCAAACTTGCTCAGGTATAAACATCAAAAACAACCCTGAATTGTTGTGTAATCAGTTTGAATAGGAAAACCTAAACAACACTACATTTCAAACAGACAAAGTTTTACAAGTGTGTATAGGTGCATAGTGTGCAGAATCCGAACCCCCCCCCCATCTTGAGACGTATTGTGTATCCTGTGATAATCAGTGACTTGAAGAAGCTTGATTTGGGGTTCCAATACATCAAAGTGTAGGAGTTTTGTGATTGACAAAACCACATTAGGAAGTTTAATTCACATATCCTGATTCAGGATTTAGATCAAGATCAATATATGCTTGTGTACTGCCCGGCAGAGAGATATAATGAAACCATTTCTTGCATTAGAAACTACATAAAAAAAGGACTTGAATGCCCTTCTATCAGATATACAACACAATGAGTTCCTCTGACATAAACAGCAAGAAAGGGTCACAAAAAGGTCTAAAATATCTGCAGTGAGTATCCTAACAATGTGTGATTACAATGGCGGCTGTTACAGGGAGGCAATCGTGTCAAACTCCATACAAAAGTAACTGCTCAATGGCCAAAAAATATAGTAAACATTTAATTGGCACTGTCACAAGCTCAAGCCAATCCAATGACACAACAGGTCTGTACAGATTCAGACAAAAAACAGCTGATGCATGCTTGTCATAATGTGCCTGGAAATCAGTCTACAATCGTGAGTAATCACATCTACATGTACTGTTCCTGCAAGAAAGCTCATGTGAGTTATCACATCTACATGTACTGTTCCTGCAAGAAAGCTCATATAGCATTTATTTCTATTCTGATGGACAATGACAGCGCCCCCAAATTTCAGCCTCCAAAAGTCGGCGTTAAACTCACTACACTGAGCCAAAGCTATCCAGGGATGGTGAATGTTCCTCCAGATCCTCATAACTGCTTATGCTAACCTTCTCTGCATCTCGTTGATTCACACATTCAGGCCGGACAGCTCTAATCTCGTGATGGAGCTCTCGTAGGTACTTCTGAAGGCTAGTGCAAATGTCCATGAGTACATGACAGAGGGCAGTATCTATGATGGCCTGTGGGGTCCATACCTGGTGAAGGACATTCAACAGCATGGAATAAATTGAACAAAATAACTATGGAAACCGGAAATGGGACACAATAATGATTGTTGTATGGCGACGCACACAGGATGCATGGCGCTAATCTAAGAATTTCAGAAAATTCTTCTGCTGAGGTTACTTAACATTCTGAATCTGCTCACTGTTGTGGTTTTTATTTCTCAGTACATTCAGTTTGCAAGGTGTGGCAGCATGTCAGGTGGGCAGAGTTGTGATGACTCGAGTCAATGACTTGACTCAAGTTGCAATTTTTAGCAACAGTGGGTAAATGAGTTGTCACTGTGAGCAATGACTCAACTCAAGGCCCTCATCAGAAGACCCGACTCAGTGAAAGTTAATAAGATTCCACAACATTATGTTACAGTGACTTAACTCAAATGATCATGTCACAATGACTAAACTCAAATGGTCATGTCACAATGACTTAACTCAAATGATCATGTCACAATGACTTAACTCAAATCATCATGTTGCAATGACTCAACTTGACTTAAGACACAAAAACTGGTGACTTGTTTCAACTCAAGCAGGCAGGATAACAATCCTATCTTCACATACTATTTTGACTTACGGGAAATTTCCTATTTTAGAATTTTAGTTATTTGAATTGGGAAAAACAGCAAATTTCTCGCACTTTGTCCTCATCTCAACTAACAGAGGTGACCTGTTTTAGTAAGAAAGCAGAAAGAAAGATGGATGTGACAAAGCTTAGACCTGTGGGAGTAAGAGTGTGGTTTCATACCTTGAAGTTGAGATCGGTGTTCAAAATCCATAGAAACCTAGACTGTGAGGGGTCACCATTGAGACTTTCAATTACCCATCCAGTTGGTCCATTGAATCCCCTGGGAAGAACAAGACCACGAGGGTTACCATTTTGCTGAATGAGTCACCGAGAAGACACTGTGAATACATTCATGTGTGACTTGGGAAACATCTGAGATATAGGCATAATTACAACTGTACTGAAGGGTCTTCCAGAGCTCTGTATGGTCAAGTCTATCATCAGCACGCGGCTGAGTATTAGCAACCAACACAGACCCAGACACAACATTCCCATGTGGCGTTACTATGTTTGTTGTCACTTGTATTTGACTCATTTTGCACTTCATCATCCACATAATCCTGCAATGAGAAAGTCTGTGTTTGCAAGATAAATTTCAAGGTTGTATGCATGCCTTTCTACAGGTCAACAGTTCCAAACTGTTCCATGTTGGC